GTGTTCAGCGCATCAATATTTAGTAGAAAATAGACAACTGGTAGCTGAGTGTGAGACGGGAGGGAAAGTAAAAAAATACCTGAAAAATTAATCTAGACACTTCCAGTGCATATCACTATTACTTCCTGCTGTGCCACATTCATTCATACCATCGCTTTCATCCCACCTCACTCGTGATACACTATCAGGATCAACAGATAGATAGAGAGGGGCAAATGTGATATTGCAGCCAGCCTCACTTTCCTGCATCCCCCGACTTCTTTGTATTTTTTTCGTCTGTGTGTAGCTTTGCCCTAGGCTAGATCGTATGTCATTGTGCGCGGCTGTGTGCATCTCTCTCCTTCCTCTCCGCATGTGTGTGTGTGTGTGTGTGTGAGTGTGTGTGTGTGTGTGTGTGTATGTGTGTGTCTCCATCACTTGCGTTGTTTGTGTTTCTCTTACACATTCGACTGCTGAGGTGTAGACTGTGTTCAAACTTCGATAGGTCATCATGTAAGTATTGTACTGTCTTTAAATAAACGTGCCCGAAGCGGAAGTTACCGTGCTTAAACTTAAAGGAGTGTAATTTATATTATAATAAAAATTCGGTAGGGGAGCCGCAGTGCTTGAGTCCGAAACGTGTTTTAAGCCGGCGTGTTGACAGCCAGCACGGACTGCACAACAGTGGGTGGGGGGGGGTGTCAATTTTTACACACATAATCTAGATCTAGAGATCTAATTAATGAAAAACAATAAATAGGCCCAATAAGTTAGTTCCGGCTTCGATCGGTGTTGGGTCCACCAGTGATCACTGCACTGATATTTTATATTTAATTTCATGTGAATCTCAACTCGTTCTGACTCTACGTACAGTACACTTACACTAACAAGGTTTCAAATTAATCTCAAGCCTTGAACTTACACTTTCATCATTCTGTAAGACAATAAGTTGGCAGAGCTGAATCAACGTCAACATTCCATTTCACATTCTGCAACACAGTAGGCCTACATACATGGCTCCTTGAAGTTCATCTTGTCCCTTAATTCAGCAGTCTACTGTCAACACCTTTTTCAAGTCCTCCTCAAGGTGATTAAAAGTAGTTCTAAACTCCTTGGTCCTCCTCCACTGTGATGTTAGGCCTAACAAATTAATTATAATAACAGCACCGCAGCAACTGACTGCAAGCATATATTATGCCTGCGCCTAGACGGTCAGAGAGATCGTATAGGCCTGCGCTCAAGCACTGTAGGCCTACATAATAATATTATTAGCAAAGAGTCTATTTATATAGTATCAATAGGACAGGCCTGGGCCAGACGATAACAGCTTGGATCGATTCTTGAATTCTTGGAAAGTCTTCCGGTAGCAGGTAAAAAATTTACCCCCTAGGAAAAAAACTCCACATCCCCAAGGCAACACTGTCAAGGCGAAGAATTATACTGCATGATAAAAGCAGGTTTATGTGTGACCTTGTCTGATATCTCCGTAATCTAAACCTAGAAAAAGATAAATGCATCGGACTTTCTCCTTGCCAACTGTAGGTCGAGAAAATGATATCGCCAACGCCGTAGTAATTATTGCATAGAGACCAAATCATAATACGGTAAAGAATGGAAATGAAAAACAACAAATTAACACCAAAGTCTATGAGAATATATTGTATAGTCGTTTGCTTTCTTTCTAGTTTCTTCATTTAAAAATAATAATTTGTTATTATGGTAATATGAATGCCCTAACTGTGGCGTGGGACGGTGAACCGTGAAACCAAAAGCAAGACCCCGGTACATTTTAAATGGGTATCGTGTTGATAATCTGTACCGTATCATGTGGCCAGGTCCTTGAGGCAAGGCGAACTGAAACTGAAACTGCAACCGAAAACGAAAACATTTCCACTCAGTCCCACTTAAACTTTACTTTTGCTTTGCAGGGGGGAGGGGGCGGAGGGGATTAATCCATTTGAGCTTGAGCTTACTGAAACGACTGAAACAGACCATACTTTACCAATTATTGCTAGACCTTCTAATTCTTCGGGAGGGGGGGGTGTTTGTTTTGATGGTTTTTTTCTTTTGTTTGTTTGTTGTTGTTTTTCTTTAGGGGGAGTCTGTTTGGGTGTTTTTTGGTTGGGTTTTTTTTCATATAATATATTTGCCTAACTGTGTAGTTAAACGATAAAACAAAACAAAAAAAGAATGAAAGAACGAAATTATAGAGCCCGTACGTTTTAAACATACATAGGTAGGTCTATCGTAATTATAATATAACAACAGTCTAAGATGAAGGAGACGTAATATGTACATTGTATATTACTCTGTGGTTATCTAATCTATGCAGTACCGATCATGTGACCTGAATGCTAAAAATAAAATTGACTTCGGATGCAAACGAAAACATTTCCACTCTTTCCACCAAAAAAACTTGTACAAAAAAACAACAACAAACAAACAAACAAACAAAACTAGGAGTTTGAGCTTACCCATGTTGACTGAAACAGACCATACGTTGCCTTATAAATTGTTAGACCCATTCTTATTCTTCTAAGTTATTTTGTCTTTATATAATATATATATTTATACATAATATATTCTTATACACACACACACACACACACATACATACACACACACACACACACACACACACACACACACACACACACACACGCACACAAGTAAAATTATGCAAATTTAGATGACCAAATAATGCAAGTAAAAAAGCAAAATTATGCAAAAATTATGCAAGTTAGCCTACCGTAACGCCGTTCGCGACATGTTTAGCCCTTTTTCAAGAAGAATGTTCATGTTTTATGTACAGAAAAATTGAAATCAGAACACATCAGTATCAGCAATCTGTTGTGTATTTGGAAAGAAAACAATACGCATCAGTCAAAAAAAAAGAACCAAATAATTTAATCTCTGTAACTTTCAGCTGTAGATCTAGATCTATAGATTTAGAGGGAAAATAATGTACCAAAAAAAAGAAGACATCTGGACCGCTGATGCTGGCACATCACTTAAACGAGGGACACCTGTCAAACATGAAACATCAGCAGACATGAGAACAACTTTTGATGGATTGAAAAATTGAACGTGCTCAAGGCTCAAGGAACAAAATCCCTCACCAATTACAAATAGGCTGGCCAAGATCTTTTAACAAGGGAGATAACCAACTTATCACTTAAATGAGACATATCAGTATTACCAGAGACACTAAAACATAGAGACAGGAAACGAGGCCTCGCGGTCCGTGACAACAGTGCATTTGCGAACGTGACCGCTGAGACGCGAG